GCAAGGCCTGCCACGGCACCGAGGCCGGCCATGGCACCAACACCGGAAGCCTGGGAGGAGCCATAACCCGCCGCGCGGAGGTTGGTCCTCTGCACCTGAGGCTCGCTGTGCTGGATCTGGCCAGCAGGCGCCACGAAAGCACTGCTCAGGGCGCTTGCTGCTGCGAAGGCACCGACGCCGGCCATGGCAACGTTGGTGGCGGTTGACGGCATGATAGCTGCGAAGGGTAGGAGGGCCGGGTGATTGTACTGAGCTTCTGGAACCAAAGAGCATGCACAGCAAGTGGGAGTGGCCATGCCCTGTCCCCTGCCCCCAAAGCCCGTAATGCCAAGAAGGGAACGCAGAAAAAGAGGAAGACAGTTCAAGAAGCTCTCCTGTTATTCCCCGATTACATACATGAAGCTGCAGGCCTGTCGCCCGCTGCTCCTGCCTATACGCTTCACGAACTGAACCACTGAATCCGGAAACAATCTGCCTGACGATGGGAGCAATCCCCCATGAGCTTCTACACCTTGAGCTCTAGGTGCTCAAGTAGTTTCTATTTTATTTTTCATCATCCCCATATAGCCCCAATATAAGCTGCATATTTAAGGACAAGATCCAACAATCATACAGTATCTATTGTGCCGATCTGTCATCCATCTGACGTGAAGAGATGATTACGATCATTATTCCTGTTATTACTATTATTTCTATTATAACTAGTATTACTATTGTTACTAATATTGTTTTACTATTATTACTCAATATGCTACCAGAGTCTGGGTGCGAGTGGTTATTGGGACGATGCATGATGATCGCAGTCGCCGATCTGGCTTTCTTGCAGAAGAGCGCTAGGACTCTAACTCCTTCACTTACTGGCGGCTAGTAGGCAAGAAAGGAATCTACTGTACTATACAGGGTTATACCGGGATCATATTCCCTTACTCCCGACCAACCACCAGTAAGCGTAAGAATCCCGATCTCTTGCCTCTGCGGGGGGCTCCGGCTCGTCCACGTCGCTGGAAGGCTCACCAGGTTCGCGGCTGTAAGCCTACAGCGTCTGGTCAAGGGTTTAGGGTTTAGGGTCTACGACACGGCCTGGCATTGAACGCTTAGGGATTGGGGTTGACAGTCTAAACACTACGTAGCGATCTTACGGAGAGATTGCCGGACATTGTTTAGGATCACACGTTAGCATGGTGGCTTCAGGATCACAGAGATTGGGGTTAAGGCCTTGAGTTTCGTGACTTTCTTTTCAGGTTTCATGGAATTTCTGATACCACTGAGCTCATTGACTTTTACTGACTGGGTATGGCTTGACTGCTTTGACTTATGCCAGGATGGCTCGAAGGTTCTGATGCTGCTGCACGAGGCGTAGGGTTACACTGGGATGGTATGGAATGATATCAGGGTTGCAAATGCGATTCTTTTCCAGTGACCCCTTACTAAATCCTACATAGCCGTTTCCATTTCATTTTCCCGTATCCCCGGATAACCCCTATATAACCCTAATATTACCCCAATGGGTACAGAACATCATGTGGGCGGGCCTTACAAGTTTGGGGCCCAGCGTCCTGCAAACACAAACCTTGCAGGCAACACTGTAAGCCACTTCGAAACCGGCGGAAACACCAAAATGACATGGAAGCTGGGCTTATCCTTTTTCTATCAACGGAATTCCCATCTTACAAAGACAGATACCAAGCGCCGCACCCTAAGCACAAAAGCCTTGACCCAAAGCCCTGGGCCAAAAGCTTCCAAACCCAACCCACCTTCTTTCTGGCAGTTAGTAGGGAATGAGGGAAGAGAGCCGCCATGTGAACTATAGTCTAAACTCCTAGTCTTCGCCTACTAAGCCCTCTAGTGGTCCCCCATATAATCTCCTATATCACCAGCCTTTCAGGAGTTTAGACTACCGTTAGGGTTTAGGGTTTAGGGCTTAGGGTTTTCCATATTCCCTTCTTCCCCACTGATCACCAATAAGTCTTGCAGACCGAGTCGAGCAACGTCAGACCCCTGAAGGCTCCCGCAACACACCAAGATCAGATACGAGGAAATCCACCACTCCTAGAGGGTCCGCGTAATAAGAATTACAGTATTTTGAAGTCTATATTGGGGTCCCCCTGTTTATGGAAACTACCATATGAGGGTCCTTTTTGGGGAGTTCCGTAAGAAGGATTACAGCACATTTGGGTCTATATTGGGCCCACCTTATTTTGGGAGACTACCGATACTTTCGAAGTACCAGGTGCCACGCTGCAGCGGCCGCTTGAAACAAAGCACCCAACTCTAAGGACTCTATCTTCAAACCCTAGGGTTTAGGGTTTCAAACCCTAAATATTTTTTCCATTCTCTTTTCCATTATCCCTATATAACCTGTACAACCCTATATTCCAAAACCCTCCACGTGGACTGTGAAAAATCTTCAACCCCCAAAGGCTGAAGCCTAAACCCTGAACCCTCAACCCCAGCCCCCAACCCTCAACCTTAAGCCCTAAACACTGAACCGAGAACCCTAAACCCTAAACCCTAAACCCTCAACCTTAAGCCCTAAACACTGAACCGAAAACCCTCAAGCCTAAACCCTTAAGCAAACACTTAGTTCGTTTCGTGGAGTCTTCGCAGCTTTTCTCGCCTGAGGCTCGTGGTCCTTCAAGGCCTCGAGGTCGGCAAGCACCGTGCCTGGGCATCAGGGATCTTCAAGAATTGAAGGGTTTAGGGGTTTAGGAGCTTCGGGGTTCTGGGTCTAGGGGTTAGGGTCTCGGGTTAAGGGGTTTAGGGGGTTTATGGGTTTGTATAGGGGTTCGGACTTTAGGAGTTTAGGGGTTTAGGGTTTAGGGTTTGGGCTTTAGGGCTTTCAAGTTCAGGGTTAAAGGAGTTTCGAGTCAAGTGCAAGGAGTTCAGCATTTCGGCTTTTGGGGGAAGAGGGGTCAAAGGTTGGGGAAGGCTACATTCAAAGCGCAGCGCTAGGCTTGAGGAGATTGGGAAAGTGGAGGTTTGGCATATGAAATTCGAGGATTGATTTGAAAGCCGAAGCAGTCAAAGGAGGTTTGAGGTTTTAGGGTTTCAGGGTTTAGGATATCAGATGGCATTGCAAAAATGTTCACCTTCAGCGTGGCCGGTTTCGGTGCTTTGGGATGCAAAAAATTTTGGATCCGAGGCCCTAAGCTTGTTTCAGGTACAGATTCTGGGATATCCTGAAACTCAAAACTTCCGGCGTAGTGGTTTAGGGTTTAGCATTCATGTACGAAATTTGCCACATCGCCTATTCGGTTTTGGGCTTGGGTCTTAACATGTCCAGTTTTCAGGATTTGGGGACTCCGAATTCGGCATCCCTTTAGGGAGCCCCTGCAACGGGGAAAAAAGACGCTCCCCGTTCTGGAAAAAGAGGCTCCCCCTTCTGATCAAAGTGTTTACTAATTACCTGGAGGTTGACTGAATCCCTACTAACCCTTGAACACACTTTTCAATTGTGAAAGGAAACCCCCTAAACCCTAAACCTTAAACCCTATAAACCCTGTAAACCCTATCCTATAAACCCTATAAAGCCTATAAACCCTATAAACCCTATAAACCCTAAACCTGTAACAAGAAGGAGTATAGAGAATCCCAGAATGAGAAACACTCAATCAACATTCACCAAGTCAAAGGTTCTAGAGGGCAGATGCCTGGGCTGATACAGGGTTGAGGGTTTAGGGTTTAGGGTTTGGGGTTTGGGGTTTAGGGTCGACTGGGGGGTTAAGGGTTCAGGGTCCAGGGTTTTGGGTCTGGATCTTACGGTTGGCTTCTGGGCATCATCTCTCTGCAACGTGTCTCCATCTCCCGCGCATGGCCCTAGGCCCCTTCAGCTACTTCCGCCTCCTTCCATACCACGATATACACAAGGTCTCTTCTCCGGTATGAAACATAACTTGGGTTTCCACCACTCAGAACCCTTCAAACCTGAACATAGTACCCACTGCCCATTTCAGCTTCCATTGTCTTTGCTACATGGTTATTCATCAAGGCGCCCTAAATCCAAAGTGGTAGCTCCGATTCCATTATCCATGCTCTTTGGCATTTGATCCTCCATCATTGAATCTGTTGGGATGATACCCCCTTCAACCCCACATCAAAACCTGTAAACCCTAAACGCTAAACCCTAAACCCTAAACCCTAAACCCTGAACCCTAAACCCTAAACCGTAGATACCCCTAAACCCGGAACCCTCTAGCCGCTAGCCATGGTGCCCAGAAGTCCATCAACGGAAGGAAGGTCCAGGCCTAGTTTGTCACCTGTAGGGTTTAGGGTTAAGGATTAAGGCTTAAGGGCTAAGGGTTTAGGGTTTAGGGTTTAGGGTTTAGGGTTAAGGGTTTAGGGTTTAGGGTTTAGGGCCTTGCATAAGGCTTCCTTTAAAGGGGTTGTAGCGGGATGTAGGTCTTGGGACTTAGGGTCGGGGAGCCCCTTTCACGGGATTGTAGACGGAGATATAGGGTGTAGGGGTTGTCATGTAAGGAAATATAGGGTTCCTTCAAGCGATTGTAGCAAGATGTAGGGTTCAGGATTTACGGTTCTAATAATGGAGGGGTGTCCCTTGAAGGGGCTGTACGGAGATATAAGGCCTAGGGCTGTAAAAACGGAAGAGCCGAAAGAGAATGAAATGGAAACTGCGGCTGCACGGGGATTTAGGGTTAAGGGTCTAGTTGGGAATGGAGGATTGGAAAAGACAATAGAAACTACCACATTTTGGGCGATTAGATAGGGGCTGCTGCTAAGATTCATTCCTCCAATGCCCACGAACTTTGGGTTTGGGGTTTTGCGTTTACGGCTAAGGCGGAGCTCAAGGGTTCGGGGCTGAAGGTTAGGCCTTTGGAAATTGAGGGGCTTAGCTCTTCAGTGGAGGGGAAAAG